TGGGTAGACCATGCTTCTTTCAGAAGACATGGCAGGAGCCTGAGGCAGATGTTCATCACAGGGTGTGGGTATATCAGCCCATTTTCTCCTTTTTAAGCCACCTGACAGCATAGCATCTGAAATGGCACCATTCACATCGCCACATTCAAGATGGTCACAGACTTAGGTCAAATCTGATGTGTTTATCTTCACTGGTTCTTGGACCTATCAAGTTTACAATCACTATGAGACACCAAACTATCTCAAAACTAAACAACAACAACAACAAAAAAGAACAAAAGACAAAGTCCAAAGCCTCTTCTGAGGCTCAAAGGCAAACCTTTTCCTGTGAGATCCTTCAAAAGCAAGAAAAAAAAAAACTACTGCAATCTCCCAACTCAGTAGCATAAAGACTGTTATTCCAAAAAGAGGTATGGATACAAAAAAGGGGAGATGAGGCTAAAGCCATAGTCCTGCAACCAACAGTGTACACTCTATACCTTTAAGGCTACCAGGGCACATGATAATGTGATTTGGGGTGCCAAAATCTTAGAATGGAGAACGCATGCCTGCCTATGGGCTCGCACATGCACACATGCCTACATGTGTGCATGCTCATACAGATACAGATATGTTACATATATTTGGTTGTTATTCTTTCACCACTCATTCTACATGGGCTTGCCACCCTCTCCAACAGAAGAATTCAACACAAAGTCACTGGTTAATTCACATATTAGCAATGTTGGTAACTTATAACTTTTGTCTTTGAACATGCTCAGAAAACGAATTAATTTTCTAAATGGACCAAGGTGTTCATAGAATAAGAAAGAAAAAACATGACCTAGAGAAAGCAAAATAGTTGATTTTTATATGATTGTCAATCTCAATTATCACGAGTATGACCGTGTATTTACCTACACTAACCATTCTTAAGATATTATGTCATTATTATAAAATATAAATAATAATTACACATACACAGCGTTTCTTCAGCGGTAGCATCAAAACTAGTAAGATAGTGCTAGAAAAGGGGAACTGTGATATTCAACATAAAATATAGTAGGAAAAAGAAATTTAAAGTTATGTTTTTCAATTGAATTATTTACAATACAGAAGTTTAAAGAAAAAATGAAACTACAGAGCATAATAAAATATTCTATTATTTAAGGTACTATTGTTCATAGTTTAAAGTATTTATCAGCACTTAGACAATAATTTTCTCACTCATTTCATAAATCAGTTTTAAAGTGAGCCTAACATTAAAAGAACATGGTGGTTTCTGTCACTGAGGAGCTATATTCAAAGTATCTTTAAGAATTCCTTTTCCCTCAAGTTATTAAAACTGTAAGTAAAGTGTTTCCCACTCAACCACTTGACACATTTTATCTAGTGATTTGAAATTCAAGATTCCTTGAGGAAACATTGTTTGCTCTTGCTAGCATGCCATTTTACCTGGTGCATCTAATCAAAATCTCTTTAAGACAAGTACAAATAAACCAAAATGTCACTCTTTCTCTCCATGAGGGGAGAGAAGAGCTATTGGTGCTTACGCAGCAGGAAATTATAGCTAGCATTAGTAGTGCACAATATAGTATAGGTCAACTTTTTATTTAGTAGCTAGTCGTCTTTATTTGACATTCCCGTGTTATTTTTTAGTAACAGGAAATCAAATTTTCAATGTGTATAAATGAAAAATTATAAACATACTCGTATGCATAAACACACACAAAAATGAAAACTATCATTGAGGTACTTTGAAATATATACTTCAGGATATTATGTACATTCTCATTGCTGTATAGCTGCCACCCTCTATTTCTATAGTCAATGAATTAATCCACTGATGGATTTGTGATAGGATAGCAATCTCAAGAGGTGTATAGTAATATGAAAGTAGAACTTTCCAATAGGTCAGTGAAAGTCTCCCTTTGTCCTCCCATTAGTGACTACAGAATGAAGAACTCACGAAGCTGAGCCCTAATTCAGCTACTCCTGCTCCTCAATGGCTGGAAGCCCTATTTTCCTATTTTTCTTCTAAACGAAAACAGGAAGATGATTTCAAAATGTGGGTGGCTATTTCATATCCTGAATATCACCCATGCCTGGAAGGAGGAGCTTCCCATGGGTCCTTTTCCATTATCACTGCCTTTCCATAATTAAAGTTAAAGTAAACTTCAAATCTAAATTTCTAAATGTCCATTGTTTTCCATTTAGACTTTACGTAAAGCTGAAGATGGCTTGTTTGTAGGGACCTATGAGAAAACTTCCAATCACCACATGATTTTTCTCATTACTGGAACCATGACATCTCTACATAGGTATGAAATGATAACTTATTACTTTGCATTTAGTAAGAGCAATTATAAAATATTCATGACCTTTTTTATTGAGCTGAGTATTGTTTTCATTGTCATTGCCTTGATTTACAAGAGAGCCTCTCTCACTTATCTCTTAGTAAGACTGCTGCAACAAGATTATCCCGTGTACTCACTCATAGGAGGTTTTTAAACATAAAGCAAAGAAAGCTAGCCAATAAATCACAATCCCAGAGAACCTAAACAACAATGAGAACCCTAAGAGAGATATTCATAGGTCTAATCTACATGGGAAGTAGAAAAAAGACAAGATCTTCTGAATAAATTGAGAACATGGGGACCCTGGGAAAGGGTTGAAAGGGAAGGGAGAGGCAGGGAGGGCAGCAGAAAGAAATGTAGAACTCAATAAAAAACCAATAAAAAAAAGATTGCCATAACAAATACACAGTAAAACTGGATTTGGAAATACTCAAAGTACAATTCACAGACCACTTGTGATCATTGATGTAGGTTTGGAAAAACTGGCTACTGATGATTTAAAAATTCTTTAAGAGAGAACAAGTCATTGAACTGTTATGAAAGAGATACTTATCTAACACACACTATAATTTATACATGCATCATTATACGTATCCTTAGGTCACTAGGATGTGAGGAGTACAGTAAAGTCAATGACATATGTATCTAAAGGTGAATCAATCCCATATCAATTTTGTTTTAAGGGGGTATTTATTTTGGGGGGTAAAACTTACATATATCATAAACCGTCAGGAAGGGAGCCTAGTCGCTGGAGCAGGAGCCGGGAGCAGGAGCTGGAACCAAGAGGCCCGAGCCGAGATCTGCGGCTCTTTTTAAAAGAGAAATATACCATGCCCCAGTGGGCTGGTATTTCAGCGGCTATTGGCTGATGGAGCGGAAGGCGCTCCTGCAGCACCGTGGGCTCGTGCTTCAGCGACTATTGGCTGAAGCAGTGGAAGATACTCCCGCAGCATGTATCCTCATAGAGAATATTGGGATGGCATTCTATCAAAATGATACATTTATTTAGTTATTTCTTAGAAAACACAAAGCCTAATCTTTGCATTGCAATAGGCCAAAAACTCTAGCCCCATAATGTACTAAGCAAGGAAGTTCATAATGACTTTATATAATTAATACTTGACAATTATGATCTCTTAAGACGTGTTTGCGGTTTAAAACTTGAAGTCTGAGCTGGAGAAGTGGTTCAATAGTAACTGGGTTTATTATGGACATATGAGGGCCTGAGCTCAGAAACTTAGCAACTATCTGAAAGAAAGTATGCCTAGTGCTCTTCACTTGCAATCGTGGTACTAGGGGGCAGAGCTAGGAATGTGTAGGTGGATCCCAGGGACTTGATGGCCATCTGAGCAAGACAAACTAATCAACAACCTCCAGACTCAGTGAGAAACACTCATGATCCATTTTAACCAGTGTATACTGTCCAGCTTAGACTTAAATAACTCAAGAGAAGAGGGCCCAATGGACACTCCTAGGGTATCATCCTAACACACAATTGTTTCTCAATTCCTGACTGTTTCCCTTTGCTAATCTATCATCATTCCTCATTAAAGCAATGATACCTGTATAATAATAACAGGAAGACTGCTTCTCATTTTAATCCAAGTAGTTCCACGTTGTCAAAGCTTTTATTTTTATTTTGAACCAATACTGGGAGGCACCTTCAAATGTTTCATAGACTGAGAGTATAAAGGCATCCAATGGGTTAACTGACCCCAATTTAATGTTCCCCTCTATCTTTAATAAAGAAGCGATTGTCTGAAATCTATGACTCTGGATGCTTGCAAATGTTTTAAATGCTCATCTCAAGGGCTAGGGCATTGATTTTTCTCAGATCCAATAATCTACTAAAAAGTAATTCTTTATTTTGAATTGACAGAGAATATACTTTAATGTTATAACCAGCTTATGTGATCCACATTAGTCATAATCTTCACACAGATTCTATCGTGCAGGGCATCTGAAAAGGTCATCACTGATAGAAGGTCATCACTGTTTACACGACACAAAGCCCTTGATTCATGGTGTAGAGACATCAAGGTGTTATTGGTTGCTATCTATAATTTGCTGCCTTTAACCTATTGACCGGAGGACCTCTGGAATGCATTGAGGTTGGCATCTTGAATAATGGTTTCTTATCAGTATATCAGGCTGCTTCGAGAATGTCACTGTGGGTCTGTTTGACATTGTCTAATTGCTCTGAAAATACCTGGGTATATACAACACGAATTGGTTCTCTCCCAATAGAGGAAATATAAGCTACGGAAGAAAAGAAAACCATTTTGTAACTCCTGTCTACCTTTCATTAAAGATTTGATCTTTTTCTTCATGTAATGACTCCCCTCTGAGCAATAAAACAATTTACACCTCCAAGGCATTTTGTAACACTTCTCCATCTATCCCAGAAGTCCTGTATGTAATTGTTATGCAAAGGAAGAGCAAGTTTTCTCTGCTACACCTTAAGCTGTGTTACTAAAATTAGTTAATTCCTGTTAATAAAATTTATGGTGGCATTAGAGTTACTTCTGTGTGCCCCAGACTCCACTTAAAAGGGAAGCTGGGAACTAAGTTGCTGTCAGCTGATTTTATAGAATGTATTATTTTTGCCTTGAGTATTTTTATTCTAGTTTTGTTACAAGAAAATACAAAGTGATATTTACTTACAGTTCACTTCTGAACTTATTTCCCAGAGAAAGCCTGTTGAAAGAGGTTTCCATCTCGCCCAGTGCCACTGCTGTTCAGTCCCAAAGAATCACACAGAGGCCTACATTAATTATAAATATAAATATAAATTAATTATATAAATAATAAAGAGCTCAGGCTCTTTATTAACTAATGTATACATCTTAAATTAACCTATAATTTTTGTCTATGTTAGCCACGTGGCTTGGTATCTTTCATCAGGGAGGCATTCTCACCTTGCTTCCTCTGTGTCTGGGTGACAAATGCAGGCTGAGCCTTTCCTCTTCCCAGAATTCTCCTATCCTGGTCACCCCACCTATACTTTCTGCCTGGCTACTGGCCAATGAGCATTTTATTAAATTAATAAAAATGACAAATCTTTATAGGGTACAAGACCATTGTCCCACAGTAAAAGTTTTTCCCCAAAGTTCCACAGCTATATTATATTTCTTCAACTTTTCTCCAGCTCAGGGTGCACTTCACTCCTGTTGCTGCAGAAAACAGGAACTGTAATTTGCTATTTCATTCATTTTCATACTCCAATCCTCAACCACACATCTCAAGAATGATAGATGCCCAATAAAGTGAATTAATGTAAACTCCATGTAGCTAGCACTGGTAAAATATATATTTTAGGAAAATTCCAAAATAACTTAATTTGCTTGGTTCCAGTGAGACATTATGGGAATAAGTACTTTCCATAATCAAACAAGTACTTATATCATTCTGGCTTATTGCCTTTGTCTAATAGTTTGCAGTGATAACAGTGAACCAAATATTCCGTTATCCGTGTTCTTACAGCCCAGGTACCTCATTTCTTAAATCTATTTTATGTTTTTATATTCATTGAGTGGTTTGCTAATTTGTATGAATTTCAGCTCATGGGTTTCTTTGGATGAATATTAAGTCAGGTTGCATTATGGTTTTTTGTGCATGTATAGTGGTAAAGATCAAAGCGCCTATCTTTCACAAGCTAGGCATATACTCTGAATGAGTGAATTAATTAATGAATGAATGTATGAATGAAAAAATGTATGCTCTGGTAATGCTCAAGCATGCAGGAGTAGTCTATATATGACAGTTCTGTTGAACTTGTCCATATTGGGTTTCATGGTCTATGTTGATCAGGACTGACCAGGTCTCTTCCTCAAGAGGGCACCAGATCTCATTACAGATGGTTATGAGCCTCCATGTGGTTACTAGGAGTTTAACTCCGTACCTTTGGAAGAGCAGGCAGTGCTTTTAACCACTAAGTCATCTCTCCAGCCCAGGCATGTACTATAGTACTGAAATATATAACAGAGATGTACATTGAAATAGGATATTAGTGGATGGCTCAAGGTACACCTGAACTGTGTGCTCAAACTGATGTATAATTTGTGGTTCTTCTGCCTCCATCTCCAAGTGCTTCGTTTACAGGCATACAACTTCAATTCCAGTTTAAGTGTATTTTAGTGATACATTTATTTATTACTTGTGAATTTCATGCTTCCATATGACATATTTTGATAATATCCATCCCCTTATCCCTAGTCCTCTCTCTAACTCCTTCAGTATCTATACCTACTTCCCCATCCACTCCCAACTCAGTGTCACAGCTGGGTAAGACTGTTGATTGTGTCCTCTTTCCCCAAGAGCTTACACAGTACTTTTAAGTACAATGCAGACTAGCCACTAGACAGGAACCTTCCTAGGGAGCATTACTTTTATTTTCCTCTGCCCTGTGTCCAAATAATATAGTGTCTTCAGTAATAGGGCCTTACTATCAAGTTTTTATAGCCTGTATTGTTTTAATGGTCACCAAGCCACCCCTGACCAACAACTCAGGGGCAAGTATCCCAGTAGAAACATTTTCTACTGTGTAAGGTAAATCCAGTTAATAGCTCTCTCTCTCTCTCTCTCTCTCTCTCTCTCTCTCTCTCTCTCTCTCCCCGCTCTCCATTTCCTTCTCCCTCCTCCCCCTCTCTCATTCTTCACACAACAACAATTTATAAATATAAAAAGGTTTGCATTTGGCCAAGGTAAAGTATGGTGGTTAGTGTTATTGGTTGGAAGGCTCCAGAGTACAGAATTCACAGAAGCTACAGTAACTGTGTTGAGATAAAGTTCACGCCATGAATTGGTTTTAGAGATCCCATATATTTTTTAAATTGTGTGTAAAGCTGTGTGATACAGTTTCCAAGAGATTATCACAAAATTTCAAGGACCGCAGCCATACAAGCAAATGATGTCAACGTTTTCCTACAATATCGTCTCACAGGCACCTAAGGATGATGGCATGCTTTGTAATTCCCTCATGATCTCATCATATGAACAGATAAACACCATGAAATTTATTTTAGTAGATATACTTGACATGTTAAATTTACTTTAATCAAGTAACAGAACTTTCTTTTCTAAGAAATCTTTATGCATCAGGAAAGAGTGCTTGTTCAGAATGTTTTATCTAGTTGTATGCGATCTACAGAAATGCCCATGGTAGATAAGAATCCAGATTATAAAGGAATACTGTGTTGTTTATCAAGCATTTTTTAAGCATAATAAGATAAAAAGAATCTATTCTTCCTTTTTAAAACTTTGCACCATTTTACAGAGTCAATTGACCAGTTACTTAGCTCCATTGACCTGTTTGTTTTCACATCTGTGGCACTCATTTTCCTGCATTGTGTGTTTTGCTTGCAAAGCATTGAACAACAATTTACTTTAATCATTTTTGTGAGTATTTTTCTATGCAATGTTCCTTGTACTTCTACTTATTTTTACTATAATGTCTGCACTGATTATTTTGAATTTTTACATTTGTTTGTAGAGACCGTATTTACATTGATGCTTATCAGCATAGCCATTTCAAAACTTTTATTGCACTTCTTTTTAATAAGTATAAATGTGTGTATGTATGTATGTGTATATATATATATATGTACATGTGTGTATGTGTACGTGTTCATGTGAACAGGTACATGAGTGAATACATGTATACATGCACATGGATGTGAGATGAAAACATCTGGTGCCATTCCTATGCCATTCCTTTTATTTTGAAACAGGGTCTCTCACTGGCATGGAGCGTGACCGAGTGACCTACCTCTTGCTGTTTTCTTATCACAGCGTCTATTATAACCGTGGGTGACCACAGTGCATTTTTTTGTGAATTCTGTGGATAAACTCATATCCTTATCTTCCCAATTCTGCAATTTTTTGGAAAAACTTAGTAATTTTCGTTTTTAAAACCCTTGTATATGCTTATTAGGAATATGAAATATTTCTTGATATCTGATGTCATGAGAATGATGTATTTAAATTTTTATTTCTAGTTGTTGGACCTAATGTGCAAGAATATAATGAGTTTCTGTGGACTTACCATGTAGCCTTGTTAAATGCTAGCAGCAGGGTCTCTTTTTTTTTATAGAAATCTGAAAGTGAGTATGTGTAACTTAATCTGTAAGTATAAATATTTGTTTTGATTTAAATTTTGAACATGCACACATCTGATTTCCTTCTCTCATTTATTATATAGTTAGGTAAGTCATCTTGTACTTTATTGAAAAAATATAGAGTCTGCCTTAGCTTTATGTTTGACTTGAGAACGCTTGACTGGTGAAACTGTGCATGCCTCTAAGCTTCTTTGGAAAGTCCTCATTAGTTTTTAGGTTTTTGTGGGGTTTTTTTTATGATGAATGCAAGTTGAGTGAGTTCTGATAATTATTTACAGCATTCAGATATTCTAACCCTTATTCTTTGTTACTTTGTTTGTCTGAATAATGATTTTGTTCGATTTTTAAATATTAAACTGAACTTCACACCCTTACACAATCTTCAGTTAATCTTCCCTTTGGTAAAGACTTATCACTTCAAAACATGAGTGTTTTCAAGACAGAAAACCCCAAAAGCAAGTGGATTACTCTTGCTTCCTCCCCAGGGGAAAAAAAGTCAGCATAAGTTGTTAATGTAAAGGAGCCCAGGCTACGCATGAGTTCATCCTTATGAAAACCTAGGGATGCGGAGCAGAATCTGAACAAGCAGGCCTTACTCAGTCTCCCTAGATTATTACATCTCTGTGTTAATTGGGCGTTTGTTGCTGTTTCAAATAACCAAAATACATTAACTTAAAGGAGGGAGAAAGAGAGAGAGAGAGAGAGAGAGAGAGAGAGAGAGAGAGAGAGAGAGAGCGAGCTGTAGGTTTAGGTTCATGGCTTCAGAGGTCTCATTCAAAAGTTATTCATTTTCTCAGGGCAGTGGTGGAACACTCTTTCAAACCCAGCACTTAGACCTTCCTCAAGACTCAGTCCACTTTTGGGTATATATCCAAAGGATGCTCAACCGTGCCACAAGGACATGTGTTCAACTATATTCATAGGAACGTTGTTTGTCATGTCCAGAACCTGGAAACAACCTAAATGCCCCTCAACCAAAAAATGGAAAATGAAAATGTGGTACATTTACACAATGAAGTACTACACAGCAGAAAAAAATAATGACATCTTGAAATTTGAAGGAAAATTGATGGAACAAAAAAGCATCATTTTGAGTAATGTAAAACAGACCCAGAAAGACAGTTACCACATGTACTCACTCATAAGTGGTTTTTAAACATAAAACAAAGAAAACCAGCATACAAACCACAATCCCAGAGAACCTAGACAACAATGAGGACCCTTAGAGAGACATACATAGATCCTACATGGGAAGGAGAAAAAGATACAATCTCCTGAGTAAATTGAGAGCATGGGGACCTTGGAGGACATTTGAAGGGGACGGGAAAGGCAGGGATCAGAACAGAGAAAAATATAAAACTCAACAAAAATCAATAAAATTAAAAAAATAAATAAACCCAGAATTTGGGAGGCAGAGGTAGGCAAATTTCTGTGGGTTCAAGGTCAGCCTGGTCTACAGAGCAAGTTCCAGGAAAAAAGTTATTTAGTTTATACTTTGTGGCCTATAGTGGGGCTGAACATAATACCATGAGTACGTTGTAGAGTTGCTCACCTCCTGGTTGCCTCAAAGCAAAGAGAGAACAACAGGTAGGCTTGTTTTATGTTGAGTTTCAAGTCATCAATTCCATACTGATTTCTGTGTCTTTTACCTAATGAAAAAGAAATATTAAAACATTCTGTTAAAAATTTAAGGCTATTTTCTGTCACCCATTTTAGTGCATTGAGTTAACTTCCTCTTGATGGACTTCATTTCCTAAAACTTTATCTCTTCCCACTACTTCCATAGGTTAGTCACTAAGCCCTAAGCACAGGGCCTTAGAATGACATTTAAGAGTCAAATTATAATGCCAAGAGAACATATTCCTTTTTCCTCAGTCATATTGGTTCATGATATGAAAAATGTTTCCTGTATTTTATTAGTCTTTATTTCCTTATGAAATTTCTCATGTCACACAAAACTTCCATTAAACAGCTCTTGTCATGGTCTCTTATTTTTATAGGTACTTTGACCATGGACTTTGAGCATGTGGAATAAGCTATTCCCTGCTTTTGTCATGATGGAACATATATTTTGACAGTGTTAAAATATTTTTCTTTCTGCTTATTCAATGAAGTGTATATTTGTGCCCATGAAGGATCTTGTCTTAAAGCTTATGTTGTGCTATTTATGCTACTGTAAGATTTGAGGCTACTATTGATTGCAGAATACCACATTCTCTTGCCCTTTCTTTTCCCTTTTAGGGGAGTGACCTTTAAAATTCATTGTTATTAATATGTATGTGTTTATGTATGATGTGTCAAGGGGTCAGTGTGTCACAAAAGTCAGGGACAAACTTTCGTGAGTTGTTTGTTTCCTTCTTCTCGGGGTCCTGGGATTGAATTTAGGTCATCAGACTTATGTACTTCAACCCACTAAACCTTCTCAGCAGTCCTTTTGGTCTTTATGTTATGAAAAAAGTTAACTTGGAGAAGTAGTGTTATTTCTTTAACTGTTTGACAGAATTTATAATAGAACAACATGTTATTAAAATTTTCTCTGTGGGGAGATTGGAAATTGTACATTCAGGGTCTGCCGTGTAGATAGACATGTCTTTGCATCATTTAAGAAATGTGTCCATTTTATTTTAGGTTTACATTAAACAACATTGTTGATATACTTTTAATGTTGTACAAATGATCATGGAATCTTTAATGGTTCCTACTTGCATTAGGTATACTCCAGTTACTGTGTGTCTTTGTTCTTGGTAAGTCTAAGTAGAGATACATTAACTTCATGGTGTTATAAATGCCTCAACTGGATATGCCATGCTTTGTTGGATCCCATGGGAGGCCTGCCCCTTTCTGAGTGGAGATGGAGGAGGAGTGGATGGAGGTGTAAGAAGGGAGGTTGGGGGAGGAAATGGGAAGAGAGGAGGGAGGGGACACAGTAGTTGACATGTAAAATAAACAAGCAAATGAAGAACAGAAGGAAGAGAGGGGGGAGGAAAGGAAGACAGACAGACAGACAGAAATAAAGAAATGAAGAAAGAAAGAATACATAAAAACTGTAAGGTTCTGCTGAGGTGATAGGAGCTGATAATAGGTCTTCTGGAAGAACAGCAAGCAATCTTTTTCTTTTTATCTTTTATTTTTTATTAATGTTTTGGTTTTTCAAGACAGGATTTCTCTGTGTAGCTTTGGAGCCTGTTCTGGAACTTACTCTTTAGACCAGGCTGGCCTCGAACTCACAGAGATTTGTTTACCTCTGCCTCCCTAGTGCTGGGATTAAAGGCATGCACTACCACCATCCGGCTGAACAACCAGCAATCTTATTTGTTCAGCCCTCTCTTCAGCCCTTCACTCTAACTTCTCTATAAACATAACATGTATAGGATCTTAAGAGACATTTTCCCCAATTACCTTGCTCTTTATAACTAAAGGAAGACAATTTGAAAAGAAACAGAAAGTCTAGTTTTTTTGAGAAATTATAACACAAATCTGTAGACATGGTTCGAGATCATCCTCTGCTTTCTATTTATGATTGTGAAAAGACAGCTAAACAAAAGAAATCAATGCTACTGCCAAGGCATTGGACATGTATCTCATAAATTGTGTTCCGTGGACATACATTTGATGCTACTAACAAAAAGTAATGAAATTAGGTCACTGAGGATTTTAGCGTTTTCTCATCTGAGTAACAGTGTGTCTTAAAAACATCACCAAGAGATAACTCCTGATTATTAACTCATTCACCGTATGACTGCATGAATTGTCATAGCAAATGAGCTGCCACGAGTGCTTGATGCTTTTGGTGACAAGTAACGATGAAAGACAGAAACTCATTCCTGATTGTCTAAAGAGGAAAGAAACTACACTGAACTGATAAGGGACACACAGAAACTTCAGGAAACCAATTGTAGTTAAAGAATAATTTATTTACTCATGTGACAAAAAAGTCACTTTATCTTGTAGTAAAAAGAAAGTAATATAAATAATATAAAGTCAATCTTAAAATGTCTTAAGACTTAAGTAGAAAAAATAGACACATATGAAATTAATTAGAGTAATCATAGATAGACTATCATCATGTTTACGGTTGCCTCAGGAGGAGTTATATTCATATTATAATAAAGATGACAGAGGTTAGAACTACAATAGCCTCCTCTTTAAATCCATGATTTTAGTCAATTGACACATGAAAACACAGTATGAGAATTTCTAGAAATAAACAATTCATATGCTGTCATCTACACTTCTTTCTTAGTAGAATGATGAAATCTTCTGTTGTCTTCATGCCATGCACTTATAGTGGTAAATCATTCTTGGTTGAGGCAGTGTACTGCAAATAAGCTGCCTGCCTCAAAATTTAAAGGAGATCTATGTTATCATTGTACAATTCTCATTTGCAAATAACCATTGTTTTGTTTAATAACAGCCCCAAATAAAAGATCAGTTACTCTGTCAGCTTGTATACAACGAAGAGAAGTCATAAAGTGCTTTCTTCAAGTGGAAAGGTGAAAGGAAAGAAAATTTTAGCACTGAAAGACAACATTTGCCTAAGTTTTTATTATAACATTGTCATTCATTATTTACTTCTCGAACAATATATGCTATAGGTGTAGTCCTTGGTTGACACTAAGATGTTAAAGAGGGACTCTAATGCTGAAGACGTTGACCACTTAGGCCACAGGACTTGAAGCCGTAGAATGAGACATGACCTGCAATCCTCTTTTCTGCAGTCTAGCTTATATGGTTTCAGAAAATACTGTGCAGGTTTCCAGGTGAGGAAAGTGAATTCAGAGATCCTACTCAGCTGTCATACATATGAACCACAGCCATTGCCGTCATGACAGGTTATGCATTAAGGTGTACTAAACGGTAATCACATATCTTTGACAGCCAAGAACTGTATATTTGGCTTAAGGCCCACTCAAGAGGAAGAAGTCATGCTGGGCATTAAAAACCTAGCCAGCTTTCTGTGCCTTGTGAGGTCAGGGATATTACAATTTACTACTACTACTATTTTGCTGAACCAGCATAATTCTGTACTATACTCTTTATACCCACAGGCAAGTGTAGAAGGCACACCTCACCACAGGGATGACTTCTTTATTCCAAAAGTCCACAACAAAAATTAAACAAAATAACCAAGGAGGGAGCAATAAAACGAAAAAAACAACCTGTCAGATAAAATTCAAAGAAAAATATTGTGTAGATTTTTTAAGTAACACATAACTATAGAGACTCATAATTATGAGAATTCATTTGAGAAAAGGGAGAAAATCCAGTCATTAACAAATCTTTCCATGCCTGTATTTGAGAATTTGAAAAAAATAGCAAAAATGAATCAATGATAACTTATTGAAGTTTTGAGTCATATCTAATACAATAAAGTCCCCAAATAAGTGTGGAGTTTCTATGCTAATTTTAGGACTTTTTTATTTTTGCATATGCTTTATTATCCCCAAAGTTTAATGCAGACTTTGAGAGGATGAGGAAAAAATAGTTCAGATGGCCAGGTGGTGGTGGCACACACCTTTAATCCTAGTACTCTGGAGGCAGAGGCTTGTGGATCTCTGTGAGTTCAAGGCCATCCTGATATACAGAGCAAGTTCCAGGACAGACTCTAAAGCTACACATAGAAACCCTCTCTTTAAAATGACACACAGTGTTTAAAGGACTCAGAGAGATGACAGATGAGGAATGAAACCTGAAAAAGGTGTCTTGCTTTTGTGTGTGTACAAGTGTGAGTGAGTAAGTGTGTACACACACACACACACACACACACACACATACACACACACACACACAAGGATGGGCATGTGATGTCAGGTGTAATGACTCAGGATGACTCCAGATCTGTATCAGAAGCCAGATACTTGGTTAACAAATAGAAACCTGATACCTCACTTGAGAGGCTGTTTCCAAGTTAGAAATGCTCTCAAACGGTATCTCTTGCTGCTGCTACTGCTCTGTTGGATACCATTTGGTTCAACATCCTGTCTGGTTAGAGTTAGCAGTGGGAAGGACCTACTGGGAAAAGAGCACAGAGTAAACAAAGTATCTGTGTTGTGGGATGTGGCAGATTGGGTGCTAGCAGGAGGTGAGAAAGCAGGTGATACAGTAGGGCATCTCAGACCTGATTTACCTGCCCCCTTCCCTTGGTGCCATTCCATGTTCGGAAGTGTCTGGAAAAGAGTTCCTTCTGAATAACATCTTATGGTTATGGAAGTCTAAAAATGTGGCTGCTTAAAACATTCCCTTTCAGCTTACTTATCTTAGGATACTATTTACTTTTACTTTCTCACACACACATTCTTCTATGTTCAGAAAGATGTTCTCATCTGAGCAGTTGGTCTGGGGATGTCGCTGTAAACTTGGCTTTTCCAGCTTGGTCCAAATCAGCAACAGCGGCATATGCTGGGCACTTACAGTTATGGAGTGTGGTTGATATACACCTTAAAGTTGGGAATCTCGCCTTTATATGCAACGTTGGCTTACTGCTTTGCTTCAAAGAGAAGGAACGCTTTATAAGAATGTGGGGACAAAGAACAAACTTCAGATTTTATACATTCATCTGTCATTCACTTAATGTAAGAAATTCCAGGATATTCCTCTTGCCTTGGTTTCGGCATTGATGAGAAAGTAAATCCAAGGTATGAGTCTGCTG